GAAAGAGAGATCCAAACGCGTCGTGGCTTCCTTCTTCTCAATCAGATTCGTGTAATTCGAATGATTTTATATACCAACAACGATATCTATCAAATCAATCTTATCTTTCGCTAAAAAAACCCAACTTTCTCGTTTTTTTTCCCTCTGTTTCTGGAGCAAATACTGAGATTCTTCTATGTCGATGATGGGTATTCAAGGCCAGATTCTTGAGGTCACTGGTCGGTGTCGCTCTCGCCTCTCTCTGTTTTTCTACCTTTTGGGTGATTCCGTGCCCTAATTTGACCGAAATCGAACCGATGATCATACCCATTAATGCGATTTCAAAAAAGTTTTAATTTTTCGATTTGTTTTCGGTGGTGTCGTTTTCTTCAGTTGTTGGGTGTCAGAAGTTGAAAGATACAGAATGGATTTCAAGGCAAGATCCGTACGTTTGCCTTGATTATGGCGGCACGGGACATCGTACCAGAACCTGCACAGGTTTGGTTCTTCTTTGGGCTCTTATGGATTGGAAATCGGTATGAGAAAATTATAATTGCTTGTTGTTTAGGGGTTTGATTAGTATGATACACTGAAAATATGAACTGGGTTTGGTTTCAGATGGTGGGAAGAACCCTACATTCCAAGAAAAGTTTATGTTCACTTTGATCGAAGGGCTTAGGGAGCTTAAGGTTGCTGTCTGGAATAGCAATACACTGACGACAGATGATTTCATCGGCAACGCAACGTATGCAACAGTGACATATCAAATTTCTTGTGTCAGTGTGTGGATTTCTTAAATGGATTCAACATTTCGGATTCAGGGGATTCGATCTTATCGAATTGTCTGCTTTTCTTGTGACTAGGCTTCCACTGCAGAAGGTTCTTTCTCAGGGATATGATGACTGTACTTGGACACTGCAGACTAAAACTGGAAGGTAAGAAGCCATTGGCTCATAACCTTAACTAGTTTTGATGTCTTGAACACTTGAGTTGAGTTTCATGTCACGGATTTGGTTTTGGTCTGTGCATGAGAATTGGGTTTAGGCTTGTTCATGATTTGGTGGAACTTCTCTACTGACTATTGCTGCAAATGTTTTCTTCCTTTGCTGTGACTGATTTGTATGGTTTTTTAGATGACAAGAGTGTAATGGTTAACAGCCTCATGATCTTGATCATGTGATCTCCTCTGTTTGATCTTTGTATCCCGTTCTTATGTCGATTTGCTCTGTGCATAAAAGATGGAGTTCTTTGTGTTATAACCTTCTTATATGGATCAATGTTTTTCCCGGTTGCAGATATGCAGGAGAAGTAAGACTCATTATGCATTATGCTGGAGCCACAGTAAGTCTAAAGCCATTCTCCCCCCATTGAATCACTGGACAAACAATTCTTCGATATGAAAATTTGCATCTGCTATGTTTCCTCGATCTTTTTCATCTTCTTTTCATTCTAATTGAGCCAACCTGTATAGTCCCTCGGTGTCACTGTCGGTCAAGATGGATATATTTCCTCTCAGTTGTCATTTATCAATGATCAAATTCTCTCGGGACATAGTCATGATCGATATCTTATGCATTAGTCGTTAAGGTGCTAAATATCGAGTTCATCTTTCTGTGCAGAAACATGACTATGCTACTGCCCCATCAGCACCGCCATACACTTCTCACGGGGCCCAAGTTCCTCTCTATACAGCGCCACCTCAGTCGCCATGTCCATACCCATCACTGCCGGCTCCATACTCAGTCCCGCCGCCGTACCCACAATACCCTCCTCCTCCTGCATATCCACCAGTTTCGGCTTACCCTCCTCAGCCATACCCATACCCTCCAGTTCATTCAGCGTATCCTCCTCCTCCTCCACCGTACATGGCTTACCCTCCTCCACAAGCTTCCTCGCCTTATTACCCACCACCAGGTACTTTACATTGCCCTTTTTTCTGATCAAGGTTTGAGCCTTCGATCAAAATCTGTTGCGTGATTGTGATTGTGCGGAAGATTCTGATGCTATCTGTTGCTGTTTTCGGTTTTAGGTCCGTATCCGGGACAATACCCGCCTCCGCCGTACTGAGTTCCGACATCTCCAAGTGAAGAACCAGCATCTGGAACTTGTCGGAAATCAGATATGGAGGATATCATCAGTTTTGGTGTTGAGGGATTTTGCTCTTCTTTGCCTGGTTGCTGTTTCTGGGTTTGTCGATAAACGAATCTCCAAATGTATGATAATGTTCTTTTTTATAATTAAGATGTGTTTTCAATTTTTTTTTGTTTATTTATTTATTACTCTTATCAACCGAATTCTCTCATTATGAGATTCTTTCATAATTATTTTTTATATTGTAAAAATATTTTCCTCTTTTTTAATAAACAAAAATGAATCCTTTCTATTTGGTACAAGCGATTCTTCGATTAAAAAAAAAAGTTGCCCATAATGATTTAACTTCCCAAATTCTAGTAATTTTTTTACTGACAAATTTTCTAATCTATTTCACTTATATATATATATATATATATATATACACACACACACTAAATCAAACACGGAATTGTAAGTGAAAGGATGGTCACGCAAATATAAAAAGCCACACAAAAATTTTAACACAAGGTCCGGTCATATCTATGCGTTACGATATCATTCACATGCATACGACGTCTGTTTTTTTTTTTTTATAACGGAGTACCCCTATCTGCTACCCTTCGGGCTAGTCAGGTAAACCTCCGGTCCGGGAGTAGTCTTTGTATATACGACGTCTGTTTGTTGTTAAAATCCGATTTGAGGTCCACTCGTATTCAAATTCAATTCCATTTGTTCACCAACCACCGACTCATTACGGCCTGAACATCCCCTCATCAAACGCTCACTTTAATATCTTCTATATATATATATATATATATCTTTTGTTGTGTTTTCTTTCGCTTCAGCGGAACAGCCTTTAATTGGAGCTGAAAGTCAACGTACGTCGACTCCCATAACATATCCATGCATGCACCAACCATATATGTTCGTTCATGCATGTATTCATTTATTTATTTTGGTAAATTATTTATATTGTTTTGCTTAAAATCTAATAAGATTTGACATCAACCATTGCCGTTATCATTAATTATATTTTCATTACTAGGTTATTAGAGATAATAAATATATAGTTTTATGATGCACTACTAAGCGGTACGGGAGCAGCCTTTGTATATGGATCATATAAATCCAGAAATTACCTCCCTCCCGACCAGCCAGAAATCAAACCAACTTCAAGGTGGAGTTACCTTCTACCCCAAGTTTGACCACTCGCCCACGATCTGTTGGGTAAGACAGCGTAAAGTTGTTCTCAAAACCGTATCTGTATATATATATATATATATGTGTGATTTAATCTGTTATGTTATATGTGAATTTTATATATAAACTTTAATTAACCCTTAAATTCCAAACAGTTAGGATATATCTTACATATATATGTCCAACTGTCATAATGAAATATATATATATATTCACAGTAGATATGGAAATTTATTAGAATATAAAATCGGTTAAATGCCGATTAAATGCACGTTTCTCAAAGATCGATGGGGCACAAAATGAGTTTTTGTTCAGATTCTGTCCACATTCAGGTAATGCAGTATTCGAAAACCAATATGGGATTGCCATTTTTATTAAGTTTTGGACCATTTTATTTCATTTAAAGCAGGATTGACACAATTAATGGCCTCTCTCTGCTATATTAATGATAGTTGTAGAGGCCTATATTAGATAATTTGGAATCCTATGCAAATTCACATCTTTTTGTGTATGAATTATCGAGACTAATAAAATTTCCTAATCTCCTGTGAATATATATATATATATATATATATTGAACATCTAAATTGAAATAATGGAATTTTGAAACGTAAAAGACCGAAAGCAAATTTTAGTTAGAGAATCCTCGGAAAGATTCAGATAGAAATTTTCCTCGGCGAAAATTAAATTGTTTAAACTAATTTATATAAAATTAAATGACACGTATTTTCCAATAAAATCAAATTAATCTTTATTTTTTCATACTATTACTAACATTTCGATAACCAATTTTTTAGTGATAAATATGGCGCCTTTAAGTAGATATTATTCATGCCCACCTAACTGAGGAACGACAATTAATTGAAATAATCAACTTTACAGGACATATTTTATAGAAACAAACAAGCTAACTTTTTTTTTGGTCACATATAAATGCATGTGGACTGTGGAGCTTCAAAATTCCAATTTTCAAAATGTATTATCAGACATATACAATCATTTAACAAACCTTTTAGATCCCTTTTTTTTTGTAAATCTCTTTATCTAAACAATTATATCATTTATTTATTTTATTTTTGGTAATTTTAATTAGAAATCAACGGTTTTTTAAAGGTAGGGTTGGAGGATTGATCGGTTCAATTTTAAAAATAAGATGAAGCCTAAACTAAATTACCCGAAATCTTGGGTATTGCATGTGCCCGCACTAATTTTTACATTGTTTTTACAATTTTAAAAATAAAAAGCTAGAAAAAGATAAATGTAAAAAAAAAATACGACCAAACTTTTTAATTATAGGTATCTCGACAACTAACGCGTATGTTTATTCGCATTATACATATACATATGATTGTGTGCCATCGCCACGCACACATATAAACGATATTTAAGTGGTTTAAGTTCTGAAAAAAAAAACAAATCGAATGTAAATATTTTTTAAAAAAAAACCAAATAAATACTGGAATGTACTGATTGCTTGCTATATATGTGTATGTATGTATATATGCATATTTTATTTAATTCATTTGTCTTTTCCAGTGTCTCATTTTGGGCCCACCTTATTGAAATTGTTTAATGATTTATTTTGCTTTTTTTGGTAAAGGTTTATTTTCTTAAAATTTCATCCGTTGATCAAACATTTCATCTTTGAAAATGCCTTTTAAAATACGTTTTATTTTCTTTTAATAAATGAGATAGTAACCCCCCACCTTGTTTTAGTGTTTTATTTTATACAAAATATTACATAGTTGGGTTACTCCCAAAAAAAAAAACTCAAAACTTGTTAAAATGTTTCATATAAAAACCAAAATTTGCAATCTCCAACAAAAAAATTCTAAATTTGGTAAAAACTTCCACAAAAATTAAAAACTTACAATTTTCTTCCATGTAAAACCTTTGACTTGTTTGACCAAAATTTTTGTTGATGTGGCATGATTTATTGTTGACATGGCGCTGACTAAACTGTCATGTCATCATTTTAAAAATTAAAATATTTAATAAAAATATATATATACAAATATATATATATATATATATATAAATTTATATATTTGATTAAAATATTTGTATATTTAAAATTTTAAATTACAAACTTAATATATATACAAATATATATATATATATATGTATAGATATTTGATAAAAATATATATGTATGTATAGGTATATATATATATTTGTATATTTAATTTTTTAAAATTATAAACTTAATATATATAAACATTAAAAATTAAAATATTTAATAAAAATATATATATACAAATATATATATATATATATATATAAATTTATATATTTGATTAAAATATTTGTATATTTAAAATTTTAAATTACAAACTTAATATATATACAAATATATATGTATATATATTTGATCAAAAATTAAAAATTTATATTTAAAATTTTAAAATGATAGATGTGGCGTTGATGTGTCAACTCAGCCAGCGCCATGTCAGCAATACATCGTGTCATATCAGCAAAAAACAAATCAAATGTTTTATATGGAAGAAAATTATAAGTTTGTAATTTTTGTGAAAGTTTTTACCAAATTTAAGATTTTTTGTGGAAGATTGCAAGTTGATGGTTTTATATGGAACATTTTAACAAGTTTAGAGTTTTTTGTGGGATTAACCCTTTAATTAATATCTTAAGTCTAAAACAGTAAAAATGCTTCCCGCCAAATATTACAAAGAAAAAGAAGGATTACAGAAAATGGAAATAATAAGAAAAATGTTTGTAATTTAATAACCAAACGAAACATCAACCTCAACCCCATGCATGCAATCTCTCTCTCTCTCTCTATATATATATATATCTCCATGCGTCTACAGATAGAGGGAGTCTCTCGACTCTCTCCACGAGGCTTTCTTGTATCTTCTTTATCCTCTTCTGTGTAATATACTGAGACAAAAAAAAAAGGAGACCCTTGTTCACCTGTGGGGAAGAAGATTAACAATGGCGATTACGAAGGAAAATGGAGAATCTTCACACAGGTTCCAAGTTCAAGATCAAGAACGAAGTTCTTTGTTTCTTCTGAATGCTCTCTACTGCGAGGAAGGGACATGTGGATATGGAGAAGAAGAAGAAGGAGAAGTCGAAGGGATCTCAGAGAACCCTTCTTCTTCTTCTTCATCTTCTTCCCCTTCTTTTTCTTCTCCGTCCGTTGTTCTTGACCAAGATTTGTTCTGGGAAGACGAAGAACTCGTCTCTCTGTTCGCCAAAGAACATGAACAAGGACATGAAATCAGTTGTCTTGACGATGTTTACCTCTCCTCGGACCGTAAAAAGGCCGTGGATTGGATTCTGAGAGTGAACTCCCATTACGGGTTTTCCACCTTGACCGCAGCGTTAGCCATAAATTATCTAGACAGGTTCGTCTGCAACTTCAGCTTACAGGGAGACAAGCCATGGATGCTTCAGCTTGTTGCTGTCACTTGTCTCTCTCTTGCTGCAAAAGTCGAAGGAACCCAAGCTCCTCTTCTCATAAACCTCCAAGTACGCACACAACACAACCACAAAAATCACAACCTTTTTCTGTAGCATTTTCCCCCCTGATTCTCAGATTTCTCTCTGTTCTCTGCTCTGTTTTGAAGGTGGAGGAGACAGAATATGTGTTCCAGGCAAAGACCATACAGAGAATGGAGCTCTTGGTTCTGTCTACTCTTCAATGGAAGATGCATCGGATTACTCCGATTTCGTTTCTCGACCACATCCTAAAGGGACTGGGGCTGAAGAACAATTTCCACTGGGACTTCGTCAGGAGATGCGAGCATCTTCTTCTCTCTGTAATCTCCGGTAAGAGAAAACAACGACGACAAAACGCAAACAATGTCTTTTGGGCAACGACATAACATAAGTAGAGAAACGACAAAAAAAAAAAACCCATCTGAACCCATTTCGATTCTCATCATCTACTGATCTGGGTATCTCACATTCGTCTTTGTTTCTCCGTTATTTTTTGTCAGATTCAAGATTTGTCGGCTATCTCCCGTCCGTTATAGCCGTAGCCACTATGATGCACGTTATCGAGCAAGTTGGGCACTTTGACTCCATATCATACCAAAACAAGCTCCTTGAGGTGGTCAAATTAAGGAAGGTTTGAACTTTGCTTCTGATCCCTAAAAAAACAAATCTTTTACACTTCGCTTCTCCATTTGGGCATTTTCACAAACACCTCTCACGCATGTACAGGAAAAGGTGACGGCTTGCCACAATCTGATCCTCGAACTCTCTTTGAATAGCAACGAAAACCCATTTCACCGGAAACGCAAGATTCAGCAACCGATGCCGAGTAGTCCCAATTGCGTTATCTATTCGAAGCATTTGAGCAGTGAGAGCTCCAACGATTCCTGGTCCGCGAGTTCCTACTACTGCCATTGCTGCAGATCATCGGTCTGTTATTCGCCGCCACCATCGCCATTGAAGAAGCTCAGAGGAGCTTCGGAAAAGAAGAAGCCGATGCTTCTTCCATAGACCATCGTCGAAAAATATATATTCATGCTTCGGAGAATAAGAAGTCCTTGAGATCGAGAGCTCTATTCTCGTTGAGCTTTATTATAATCACTCATGCGTTCCAATAAGCTACTTTTGTATATTCGATTAAAATAAAAATATATATCTATGCGTTCAACAAAAAATATAATTTATATATATATATATAGAATTATCAGAAAATTATTTGAGTTGATTCGGGAATTTTTATTTGTATTTGTATGTATTTGAGACCACGAATATCTATTTGTAATTTATGTGTGAAAAATTGAATTCGTTCGAAAATAAAATATTAGTGTTTCTACGTTTTATGTATGTGTTGATCTATCTTATGGTATTCCTTTAAATTAGTATGCATTATTTTAAGAACTTGAGGGCCAAATAAAACTCTTAACATTGATTTCAAATAAACAATTCTGTAGATTTATTGCAAAAAGGTCACTGCACGGAATTTTAAGTTGAAAGGCGAAAGTTGCATGTCGGTGGAAATTAATTTTGGGAGACATACTGTATACGTATATATATATATATATTATTTTTAATTTATTAAATGTCTTGTGACAATGTGTTTTTGTGTTTTGTCTCTTCTATTGGTTTCTCTCGTTTCCTTGTCATTTGCACGGTTGGCATCTCCCTTTTAAAATATTTGTTATTTTAGGTTATTTTATAAATTTTTTTTTTAAAAAAAGAGAAAAAATTTACATATACCTTTATTTAATAATAATAAATAATATTATTATTAATAATGTATTAGAATTTGATAGGAATAAAATTAGAAACTATTATAAAAAGTATATTGAAAATGTAGAATGATAAATATTTTAAAACATAGAAAATAAGCTGACTAAAACTACAAGTATTTTGAAACGGATGAGTAACATCAAGCCAACCTAATAAAAAATACTAAAAAGTATTTTAAAATATAATAAAATATTAAAAAAAATATGTCCTTGTGTTCTAATGTGCATTCAAATCAACATAATCTCCTTCTAGTATACAAGAATTCTCCCACGTAATTTAAAGATTATTATATGAACAACACCTCCTGTGACAATATCTGTTTGATCCTTCATGTTCACGTTTCAAAATCATTTTGGAATTTACATTCGGTGCTAACAGATAAATCAAATTCACGGGGGTTTGTCGGAATTTGTCACATTCCACCATATGCGACCCACCTAAGCACGCTTCTTTTCTCAGCTTTTAGATAAAAATGATGGACCGTTGGTGAGTACTAAAAAAAACATTGAAATTCCTAAGAGATTCAATCATCAAAACAAACAAACAACAAAGTGTCTACTTGACATGTAAATCATCCTCCGCGCATATGCGCACCCAATTCGCCGAACTGATCATCAGCCTCGACCGTGTCTTCTGAGAGACGGACAGCGTCCAGCTTCTGTTTCAGGATGTCTATGGCGTTGAGGACGAGCTGAGAGGCCTTGACAGCGCCTGTGGACTCCACGGTGAATATGAAGCTGTCTTCTTTCGGACGGATCTCGACGAGTCCTGTCTTTCCCATGGCTTCTGCTGCCTTCAGCACTTCCTCGTCGTACGAGTACGCTTCGGGATCAACCACCACAATCTACTCATTTGCAATGACGGGCAGAGAAAAACAACGAGGGTGTCAGAAAATGTTACTCAGAACGAAATTCTGATATGAGATCAGTTTGCAGAGCATGCTTATTGTATCAAAAGAATTCAGCAAAAGAATTCAGCGCTAATCCCGATTCCTTTGTGAAAAGTGAAAAAACTTGAGATATATTTCGGTTCGTTCCATTTCAAGTGAAGGACCCTTACTAGACAATGAATACATTTGATGCCAGTGAGAAAACTAAACAAGCCCCGAGATTAAAATTTTATAAAGGATCCTGTTTCAACTATGATCACGAGAGTAAGTTGGTACGGTACCAAAGAACTGAAGCTTGCAGGATTCAGACTAAATTAGCAAGGGCCGAAGCGAATCGGGAGGAACTGAGACTGTCTAGTGGAAATATAAAGCAGAAATAGCATAATGCACTAAAGATCTAAAGCCAATTACTAGGTCTATGCACAAGCAGTAGTATATGAGGAAGCAACATCAAGCCAAAGAGAAAACTTTATCGAAACCTCAAAACTAAAACCTTGTAAAGAGACCCTTCGACATTAATCTAGAGACTAACCTGCCTGGTTACTTGGTCAAAATCAAAAACTTTGGTCGGGCTACTATCAATCAATTTCAATTTTTCCTCGTCTGACAAAGTATCCATCAGGTCCTCGTTGATTACTATCTCTGGTTCACACATAAAGGTCACAGTAGCTGCAGGAGACCATTTTGCATGATCTTTGCCGATTCCTTTCCTAGCTATTGCCCTGAGCCTCAACTCTTGCCCTCGCCGCAACTTCACAATGATGATCCCCCTAGAATAAAAAGAAAAACATCAGCTTTGAGAGAAAGAGGAAATCAAATACTTACCATGTTAAACTATCAAACTATAAGCACACTATCAATATCTGGTTTGTTGACACTAAGAGCTAAGCACAAGAAAACACATACAGAAGAGAAACCAGAAAAGATGATCTCATATGCGTGAGAAATATAGACCCGTGATATTTCGATTTCCATATCTTATTCTTGTATTATATGGGACTTTAAAGGCTCCGCCAATGATTTCCTTCGGAAATCCAAGTAAACTAAACCAACCATAGGATTTCAACAAATGGCCAACCGATGCTATGCGACCATACATCGGAAACATGATTGAGCGGCAAGTCAAAACGATAAGCACTCCAAATTATGATTAAAATCTAAGTACATTTCTACAGCTCATCTAATCTAGCAGTTCCAGCCCAGTTCTAATGACACAAACTCAATGCAATTCATGTTCCTACTCCCTGCATCTCAAGACAAAACATACAATTCTAAACCCAAATAACCACAATGCAGCAAACATCAACACTGGATGAGACAGGCGAGAGAAAGGAAAGAGAGAAACCTCTGCTCATTCGATTCATAACCAGACGGATCGGAGAAATCGACTGGAGTAACTGTGGGATCTGCGCTGTACAAATCCCTGCTGGTGACATCTAGGGTTTGGTCACCGATGCACTTTGCACTAAGGCGAAACTCGACCGAGCAGTACTCGCACTGACCGTCACCGTCGCATGCATCGCAGTCGCGTGAGAAGCGCATGCCCATGGCGCGTTCGCTGGTGAGAGGTATGAGCCCGAGTCGGTGGGCGATGAATTCGTCGTTGAGGACAGTGGAATTGACCTCGATCTCGACCAGGTCGATGGCAATGGTGGGAACCTCAGCGATCATAACGCGCCGGAGCGCGTTCGCCATTGAGACGTCGGTCTCTCGAAGCTCGAACTTCACGAAGTCATCCCTCAGCTCCCGGATCTTCACCTTCGGGAACCTCTGGTAAGAGACACCGTCCATTTCGAAAAAAAGTTCCTTTCTTTCTTCTCCGTCGTCCTCTCCTAGATTCTGATTCTTCTGCGAATTGCTAGGGTTTCAGCTGTGGAAGCCATCGAGATGAAGAGAAAAGGACACACGAGGGGTTTTGGGGGAAAATTAAACTAATGGATGGTGACGTGGCGTTCTTTCATTGGTGAAACTGTGCCAGCAGAAAACGGCATCGTTTTGATGCGACGTTTCTCTGTAATTGTTGGGGAGTAAGATCATAGGGTATAATTGTAAACCGACGATAAAAAGAGGAGAAAGCAATGACGCAGTTTGCAGAACATCAGACGGCTGAGTACCCTGAGTTTTTTAGGTATTCGGGTTTCGTCTTCGTCTTTGTGGATTTTGAGAAAACACTATCTCGTTTTTCGTTTTCGTGAAGTTCAGGTATTCGTGATTCGGGTATCCGTTGCTGAATTCGATTATTTGAACGTATCTGAACCCGTCCAATTCTTTAGAAAATATTGACTTTTATTGACTTTAAGGGTACTTTAGTAATTTAATATAAAAATATTTTGTAATAATTATTGTAAATATATCAAAATATCAGAGATATAATCGTCATTTTATTCGTATCCGGATATCCGAGGATATTCGTCGCCATTCAAACAAAACGCACACTCGAATCCGCTATCCAGGTTTTTCGCTTCATCAAACATTTTCGTCTTCGTTATATAGAGAATAACCGTGTTCCGAATATCTGTGAGATCGAGTACCTGAAAACCCGTAGAAATCTTGGTTCCATAGAATTGAGCAGATCTTTAAAGTTCTTTACTTTTTTTTTGTTAAAAATTTCGTTATTGTCATTTTTATTTTTGGGTCAAATATTATTTTTGCAATGCTGCAGATTTTTGTGCTCCTAATTTATTTTCTCAACTTAATTCTCCTTTCCTTTTGATATCTTTAAATCGGAAAAGAAATAAATGGAACCACCCACTCATTTAGCTAACTAATTTTTTTATTTGGCCATGTGATTCAAATTTCAAATACATTTAGTGTTGGACACATCGTACAAGTCAGACTGTATAAGGTTCCATCAGGCAGTGAAAGGGCAAACGCTGGAACAGTCATTAAATATGCCCCCACCGAATTCAGACCAAGGAGAAAGCTCCACTCTCTCTCTCTCTCTCTCTCTCTCAATGGCTCCTCTGTTTCTCGTTCTTCTCTGTCTCCCACTCCTCGCATCCTCCGACGAAGCCTACCCCTCCCTCGGGAATTGCGGCGGCGGGGGGGGGGC